ACCCCTCTTTGGGTTTCTGAGGGGGTATCACTATGGAAGTAGATTGTCCAACCTTCCTTCCCAGGAGTGGCTGGTGAATTTGAACCCCCAGGCTTCTGGTTACCAGTCAAGCATGCTTTAGGCACTATGCTACCAGAGCTCCTATGCTGTAATTAGTTTGCTTATTTATTTACTTGTTTATTTTCCATATCTCTCACTGAAAGTAAAGTTCATGTGAGCAAGAATCTTTTATGTCCTATGCCCATTTTATCTCAACATTAGAACATTACCTGACAAAACAAGGTTCTCAATAAACATAATTGAATGGATGCCTGAATAAAAAGGGAGAAAGGAACCGAGGCACAGTAATTGATCTCTATTTGCCTGCAGCAACAGAAGAAGGAACAGACTCAGGAAGAGGAAGAGGATAATTACCTCCATGAACAACTGTTTTTTTGCCATGAGACCAGAAAAACTGATGGAGCCCAGCTACTATTATTGAACATTTTGATCAAAGATACTATAGGGAAATGATGATCAAAGGTGGTAATGTAGAACAGAACTTCAAAATCTCATTGTCTCCAGACTTCCTCAGTAAATCCTGAAACTATTCAGCTGAGATAATCTTTAAACCTTAAACAAAACATATCTCCAGAAGTCTTAAAACCAAGCCAAAATCTTCTTCGCTTAAATAGTGAACAATGTCTGCCTTAAGCACTGTGCTGTTTCAAAATCTATTTATGTGGATCAATTTGATAAAAGCCACTCAAAAGGTTGGATAGGAACCTTAAGGAACAGTGAATTTATGTTAGCAGGGATGGAACAACTCAGAAAAGGATAGTGAGAATGGTTGCACAACTCAAAGAATGTAATCAATGTCACTGAATTGTACATATAGAAACTGTTGAATTAGTGTACGCTTATATTCTCAACAACAGAATAAATCATTTTTTTAAGTACATTAAGTATGTTAATCACTGCTTGCTGTCAGTCACAAAGAATTGGCTCCACCATGCAACTTCAGCTTTTGATGAATTGAGAAACTGGGATCAAAATCAGTTGAATTCTTCTACACTAACAAAGAAAACTCTGGAAAGGAAATCAGAAAAAAATATCATTTACAATAGCCATCCACAAGATGAAGTACTCAGGAATAAATCTAATCATAGATACAAAAGACCTATACAAAGAAAGCTACAAAATACTACCACAATAAAGCAAAAGAGACCTATGTAAATGGAAGAATATACCATGCTCATGGATTGAAGACTTAACATGGTGAAACTGCCAATACGACCCAAAGCAATCTACAGATAAAATTCAGTCCCAATTTAGATTCCATCATCATTCTTTAAAGAATGATGGAAAAGCTAATCCCCAACTTTATATGGAAAGAAAAGAGACCCCAGAGAAACAAATAAAGGAGACTAAAGTAGGAGGCCTCATACTCCCCAAACTCAAAATCTATTATACAGCCATGGTACTCAAAACATCCTGGCACTGGTACTTAACAGACACATAGAACAATGGAACAGATTTGAGAACCTAGAAATAAATCCATCCACAAATAGACAGCTATCTTTGACAAAGGGTTGAAACCCATTAAATGGGAGACAGCCTCCTTAATGGGAGCTCTGGTGGCATAGTGCCTAAGGCAACTGACTTCTAACCAGAAAGCTGGCGGTTCAAACCCACTGGCCACTCCTCCGAAGGAAGTTTGGGCAATCTACTTCCATAGTGATCCTGCCTTAGAAACCCAAGGAGGGGTCACTATGAGTTGGATCTGACTCAACGGCAGTGGGTTAGTCTCCTTAACAAATAGTGCTGGCAAAACTAGACATTCATTTGTATAAAAATGAAACAAGATCTGTATCTTTCATCATATACAAAAACTAACTCAAGATTGATCAAAGGCCAAAATGTAATACCTAAAATTATAAAGATCATCAAAGAAAAACTAGAGGCAAATCTGAGGGCCCTAATGTTGTTGTTGTTGTTATGTGCCATCGAGTCGGCCCTGACTCATAGCGACCCCTCCTTGGGTTTTCGAGGCAGTATCACTATGGAAGTAGGATTGCCCAACCTTCCTTCCGAGGAGTGGCTGGTGGGTTTGAACCGCCAGCCGTCTGGTTAGCAGGCAAGTGTCTTAGCCACTATGCTACCAGAGCATAAATACACTATCAAACATAACTGAAAATACACAGGTAGCAGAAGACAAACTAGATGACAGGGGTCTCCTGAAAATTAAACATTTATGCACATCAGAAGACTTCACCAAAACAGTAAAAAGAGCACTTACACACAAGGGGAAAAAAAAAATTGGTAATAACATAGGACAAGGGACTAATCTCTAAAATTTATAGAAAACTTCAATACGTCAGTAACAAAAAGACAAACAATCCAATTAAAAAATGGACAGAAGACATGAACAGATACTTCACCAAAGAAGACATTCAGGCGGCCAACAAACTCATGAAGAAATGATTGCGATCATAAACCCTTAAAGAGGTGCAAATCAAAACAACTGAGATACCATATCACCCCAGCAAGAATAGCATATTTCAACAGGACAGAAAACTACAAGTTCTAGTGGTGGTGTGGACAAATGGAAACCCTCATACATTGCTACTGGGACTGTAAAATGGTGGAACCATGGTGGGAATTATATGGCGCTTCCTTTAAAAATTGAAAATAGAAATACCATATAATCCAGCAATCCTACTACTAGGGATATATTCCAGAGAAATAAGAGCTGTGACAGGAACAGATATATGCATACCCCTGTTCATCACAGCATTATTCACAGTAACAAGAAAAAAAAAAGGTAAACAATCTAAATATCCAACAATGGATGAATGAATAAGCAAATTAATGTATATACACATAGTGGAATATTATGAAATGTTAAAGAATAATGATGTCTCTGCAAAACACCTCATAACATGGATAAACCTAGAGGATATTATGTTGAGTGAAATTAGTCAATCACAAAGGGACAAATATTGAATGAGACCACTAGTACGAAAAGTCAAGAAAATGTTTACACACAGAAAGAAACATTCTTTCAAGATCACCATGGGTGGGAGCGTAAGGGATAAATCACTAAGTAGAGGATAAACATGTATTAACTTGGGTGAAGGGGAAGATGATGGACAATAAGAAAGAGGTCAGCCAAAATGATCAAGGCCAAGGAAGGCACTGGAGCACAATGGTTAAAGGCAAGAAAGGTAAATACTATTGTACACACAATCCTGAAATAAAAGTAATAACTATAATCTATGAGTGCATACATAGACATATAGTGGAACAGGTAGTCAAGGGCCAATTGGACTACACTCATACATATATACAGGCTTGACAAAGGATATTTCCACATATTATTTTTATGTGCTGCAAATATATTCATGAATACAGTAGATCATACAGGGCCAAAGTTATGAAAACTTCTTAGCCATAAGCAAACACCTTGAGGGAATGAATCAACTGGGCATGAAGGCACAGGACCATAGTCTTGGAGGACATCAAGGTCAACTTGCCTAACCTAAGCAATAAAGACAATGTTCTACAACTATTTTGATAAGTAGTGACTGGGGTCATAAAACCTTGTGAGTGCCCACGTAAGGAGCAATTATTGCTTTCTTCCCATCTGCAGTAAACAAAGAAAGGGAAGATAATCAAAGACCCATGGAAAAAATTAGTCCATAGAACTAATGGACTATGGAAACCCCAGCCTCCACGACTAAGACCAGAAGAATTAGATGGTGTCCAGCTACCACTGATGACCACTCTGAAAGAGACAACAATAAAAGGTTCTGGATACAGTGGGAGAAAAATATGGGAAAAAAAACCTCAAAATCATAAAAAAGACTAGGCTTACTGGTCTGACAGAGATCAGTGGAACCCTTGAGATTTTGGCCCTTAGACAACCTTCAAGCCTAGAACAAAATTCTCCAATTGTGGCTCAACTTTCATCTAAAAAGATAGGCCTGTAAGGTGAACAATTACATGAGGGAAGTAATACTCCTTAGAACAATCAATCATATGAGATCAAAAGAGCAGCATTTCCCCATGGATAAAGCTCAGAATGCAAGAAGTATGAAGGGAAAAAATAAACTCAGGGAGGAAGTAAGAAGAGTGGGGATTGCAATCAATGGCATGAAACAAAAATATGTATGAATTGTTGAAGGTAAAACCAATAAAATGTTAAAAAAAAACCACACAATAAAAATTTTTTAAAAAAGCAAAATTGGGATCACATCATCAAGATTCAAGTAGACTCAAAAATCACAAATAGTAGTCACATAGTCACATAGTGCATGATTTCATTTAAACACACACTTTATGAGGCAGCCATTTTACACATGAAAAGCAAAAACTTAGAGACTCCTTTAGTGACTAAAGGAGCCCTGGTGGTATAGTGGATAAAACACTTGCCTGCTATGTAAATCTTTACATAGGTAGATTGCCTCATTGTCCTCACATGGAGCAGCTACAACAACGCACTGCCGTCAAGTCACATCCAACTCATAGCGACCTCTCCTTGGGTTTCTGAGGTAGTATCGCTACAGAAGTAGATTACCCAACCTTCCTTCTGAGGAGTGGCTGGTGGGTTTGAACCTTCTGGTTAGCAGTCAAATGCCTTAGGCACTATGCCACCAGAGCTCCTATACAGCAACGGGTGGATTTGAACTGCCAATCTTCTGGTTAGCAGCCAAATGCCTTACCCACTGCACCACCAGAGCTTCCCATAGTAGCCCAGTCTTCTGAAATGTTCCTCTTATTGAAAGCAATTTCCTGATCTTCTAAACCACAGGTTTACATCATATGTTTCACGTAATTATTCTCTCAGATATCTACAATTTTTTATATCAGAATACACAGTCAATGGTACAAGCTTTTAATTCTTACTCAACAGGCCAGGCATGAAATTCTTCCTCTTTATTATTGACTTCTTATTTAAGCTTTGCATGATAATTAACTCAAGGAAATCCCAACAATTCTTACAATTAAGAGATTCTTACCTCGGAACTCCAATCCTCGAAGTTGAAAGGTAACAAGACCATTTCCAATTTCTATCAGGTGAACAAAAGCATTGAGGTAATCTGAAGCCAAAATAAAGCAATCTCCAGAGCTGTAGTTACCCCAACGACCAAGAAGTAAATCCCCACAGAGGGACTCTTGGAGGGCCTGTGTCAAGTGCTCATAAAAGATGGAGTTCAGATTATTGTCATTACTACCTAAAGGCAGAAAAAGAAAGAGTCAGTGAACCCTTGCTCCCAACGTGCTCAGAATTAAAAAAAAAAAAAAAAAAAAACACTGCCATCAAGTGGATTCCGACTCATAGTGACCCCCATTGGGTTTTTGAGGCAGTAAATCTTTACAGAAATAGATTGCCCAATCTCTCTTCTGCAGAGTGGCTGATGGGTTTGAACCATGGGTTTGGTTAGCAGTCAAATGCTTTAGGCATACCAGAACTCCTTGTGCTCAGAATAGGAACCAGTAAACTGTCATGTAACTAAGGGTAAAATCAGACTTTTTAGAGTCACAAAAAGACCTATTCTTCTCTTACTTTGGTGGATTATATGAGACCTTCTTATTTTTTCCCCTCTATATGCTCTTATAGGAGTCCTAATGTGCAGTGATTAAAAAAAATGCTTGGCTGCTAATGGAAAGGTCATTGGTTTGAACCCACCAGCTGCTCCATAGGAGAAAGATGTGGCAGTCAGCTACCATAAAAATTTACAGACTTGGAAACAGGTAGTTCAACTTTGTCATCTAGGATCTCTATGAGTTGGAATTGACTTGACAACAGTAGGCTTTGTATACTCTGTTGAGGAGCCCTGCTAGCAAGAAGTGAAGTGCCCAGCTGCTCACTCACAGATTGGTGGTTTGAACCCACTCAACAGTTCTCTGGGAGAAAGAAGACCTGGTGATATGCTCCCATAAAGATTACGGCCATGAAAACTCCACGGGACAGTTCTATTCTGTCACATAAAGTCACTATGAATCAGATTGGTACCCAACAACAACAATATGTATGCCCTCTCAAGCAATCTCATCTACACATTTATTTACTTTTAATTATTGTCTAAAAGCAGACAACTTATCAAATTCTTATCTCCAGCTGATAGCTCTTGTCTGAGCTCTAGACCTGTATGTCTACTTTTCCACTTAACACTTTCTATTATAGGTCTCAAATGCACCTCAACTTCAACATGCCCAGATCATTCCCTTCCTGTGTCCCCTTCTCAGTGAATGGCACCACTATTCAGATAGGGATCTTCTTTACTACTCCTTCACACACAAGCCTCTCAATTGTACCTTCTTCAAATATCCTGGTTTCCTATATTTCCCTTATTCCCACCTATTCCAAGGTACATTATTTCTTATAGGGATGACTACAATAGCCATATGACTCACCTATGTATATTCACTGAGACTTGCTACCCAGTCTGTCCTCCACACTACAGCCTGAATGAGCATTTCAAATGAAAAATTTGAATCTGTTGTCCATGACCCCCCAAATGCACTGCTAAAAACCCTTCAGTAGTTTCTAACTGTTCTTAAGATAGCAACAAAACTTATTAATATGGCCTATAATAGGGTGACCATATAATTTATCATTCACAGGTATAAACTTAGAAGGTAAACCAGGACACATGGTCACAAAGAGGTACTGAGTCCCCTACTTCTATCTCCATCCTCATGTCACACAACACTCCTTCCTTACCCTTTATACTCCACAACAGATTATCTTTTTTCATTTGAGTGAAAAAGGCGATCCTAGGCTTTTGTAGATACTGATCCCTCTGCTTGAATTGCTCTTCAATTCTTCTCTGGCTTATTAACTCTACCTATTCTTCAGAACTGAGCTCAATCACCATGTAGCCTTCACTGACCTCCATGACCAAGCCAAATTTCCTAGTAAGGCTTTCATAGCACTATAAGCATTTGCTTTGAACACAGTCGCAGTTGGAATTTTACTTTTTTTGTGTGTGCATATGGTTAATTTGATACAACTATTTCCTCAATGTACCATAAATTCTATGTCCAAATTTGCTTATTCTTGTATCTCAATCTGGCAGTTATTTCTAACATTTGGTAGGAACTAATTGCACTGTAACTATCTAATAATGAACTGTAATTAGATTGTACTGATCCTTTAAGACATTTTTTCCCCCTTCTCTTAGAGGAGTTATATGATCTAAGGTATTAACTGTTATTCAACAAGTATAAGATGTATTCACCATATATAACCAAAATCTATTAATGAAAAATTGACCAAATACGTTGACCAAAAATCTATTGGCCATATGTTTTTATCTGTTGAGTAACAGATGCATATATATCATCTACATATATGTAGATATATTTAATATGCATTATGTATCTCCATTATATGTTATCCATATATATGTAGATAAATTCATTAAATACTATATATCATTACATATTATCCATATATATGTAGAATATTCTTTACACACACACACACACACACTTATATATATATATAT